TTTATTTTTTTGTATAATTTTATTGTTATTTAAATGATTAATTTTTTTTATTCATTTATAACTTATAATATTAACTTCATCTATTTATTTAATGATACATAAAAATTGTATAAGGGGAAAACACTCCCACGCTCAAGTCAGCAATACTCAATATTCTAGAGAGAGATGCTCTCCAAGAGTAATTGTAGAAAGAAAGAAACGTAGAAGAGTTAATACCTTACATGGAGGTAGTTGGGGGTATTTATAGCCCCATATGTTGACATGAGCTCAAACATGTGTTCATCCAATTGGTCCACGTGTTATTGCGCACGTAGGCATGTCTTCTCATTTTGGGCTTGTGAGTGTATAATTGGGCCTACTGCATGTGGCCCGAAATGGGTGTTGGGCCTAATTCCAACATTACTCCCCCCTTAGTGTTCGGTTGACGAGTTGGGTTGAGAGTCTCATTAGCATGGTGTTTGACCTTGAGGATGAGGAGTGACGTCTTATGGTTTATGACCAACCTCACATATGGTCGATCTGGGCGGCCTGAAGCCAGCATGGCCTGGTCCGATGTGTATGTGTATGCCGGCTTCCTATCGAGCAGGCGCGAGGAAGCTGGTGTTAAAACCAGGTGAGCTCGGTGCTAATCGACGAGCTAAGCAGGCTCGAAGACTCGACCTCGCATAATGGATTTCCTATGGCAGAGCGAAGGCGAGCAGATGGTGGACGAGCTGGGCCAATCAACTCAGACGAGCTGAAATGAGTGACCTCAATCGTCACCATAATGTAGATCTCCGAGATACATAGTAAATTTGAGGGAGTTGATGACGATCTAACGTTTGATGTTCAAAACCGAGGTGAATCTCTGATTTGTTACGACCTGATCTCTAAAGATTTTTCGAATTTGGAATCTCTGAAGAGATCTCGGATTCGTGACGAGTTGATTCCTCGAGATTTTCAAAATTTGAATCAGGGCATATCTCTGAGGAGATCTCGAATTTGTTACGAGCTGATTCTTGAGATTTTTCAAATATAAGAATCTCACACAATGGCAAATCTCAGAGGAGATTTGCTCAGGGCGTTTGGTATTTT